GCTTTTAGTACTTCACTTTATCTCATAAGATTATTAGAAATATTTTGTGAATTTCAAATATAACATGTTGTTCATTAAAAAGTATTGATGGCTCAATACTGACCTGTTGGGGCTACGTTTTCTTCGTTGCGTCCGGATCGAAACGAAGGAACCTGACGGGCCATGATTGCAGCAATAGTGAAATCTGTGGCCTTCGGTCCTGTTGTCGGCGTTGATCCTTTAGCGGCGGCAGTGGAACTTAAGTGACGCGCTTGCATGGCAAGCGGATAAGTGATAACCATTGATGGGAAATCCTAAACCTTGGCACCGATGGGCCGGAGAAACGAAGAACATGTAGTGTCAAAATGAAGTCAGTTTGAAACCTACGAGTTGGCAATAGCTGTTTTCTTGAAGAATGAATACAACTGGTCTAGATTAGTAAGATTCGTTTATCAGCAATCCTACAAATGTTGTTAGGGATTTTGGGGATTCTCCTCTTCGATTATATTGACGAAACTAAATATATTCTCTAATTATTTTCAGGATTAATAACAGCAAGAAGTATTTATCCATCATCCAGAGTCTTTTGTGGTAAAAGCTGAAACAACTAATATTTCACTGCATCAAAGCTGACATGATGTCGTTATCTCTGATGTATATTGTTACGTCAATCATTTTCATAAAGTAGGAGATGTGCCGGATAATAAACAATCTACAATATCCTATACAGCAAATACTTACCTTTCGAATTACGTCGTACAAACATTTAACATTAACCAGCAGTTAAGAAGATACAATTAGATCCTAAACTACTGAAAAAACGTCGTATTTATACTAACATCCACAGTAGTTTTGGAACAGTATTCTATAGTACACAGTTACTTCATCGCCTTCAGTATAAGGGACTCTTAAGTGCACGAAAAGTATGTTAAATTTGTATATTGTGCAATTATATGAAGTGAAATACACAATATGGGCTACACAACACTGTCTCACTACTCACAGGCCACAAGTAGCAAGAGTTTGGGCAGCGAATGAAGAAGTTGAGGACCATAAATGAAGGTTTGGAGGGAAATAAACTAAGGTGGCGCTGCTCACTAATCGCGTGTATCTGCGTCATATTCTGAAGATTCAAACCACTGACGTGAGGCGGAGCAAGGATCGTAGATTGCTGGGCGGGACTTAGTTAATCACGGAAAATGCACTAGCGAATTATTGTGCTATACACACATGCACCCCGGGGACGAACTCTGTGGGACCTGTTTCACACCGTAGGTGACGCGCAGTAACGCATTATTGATTTGTGGCTCAGCTCCTGAAATGCACAACAAACTATATACGTATAGTAGACCACGTGAGTAGTAATTGTGTTCAGATGTTACTGAGCGAGGGCGCTACAGGTTGAGTGTTAAAATACTTAAAAACGAGTTTTCTTTATTTGTTCGTTGTTAGTTTCTGTCTGAGAGTAAGCAAACAAAATTTGCTAAAGTCGCATGCATGTTTTCATGGTAAATGTTGACACCTAACTTAGAATATATACAAAAATGGAGTTCACACATACTAACTTAACATTTTACACAAAATTCAAAAGTTATAAATATTGGAACAAATAAAAAGTATACATAAGTCTATCATGGCTAGCTTTTATGAAGATCTTTTAAATCTCAAATTATAAATGTAAAAGGTAACGTTTTGTTTGTGATTCATTGATAGTTTAAATGCCATCCAAAACCTATCTCTTATTTCAATTAATTGCCGTAGTTTGTTTCTGTTTTTATTTCTAAAACACTTGTTTTTCAGGCTTATTGTAAGTGAGTTAAAAGATATCTTTAAAATTTAAAAATATTTGTTTCACCACTTAAATAAGGAAAAGTTAGGCTGAAAACATAGCAATAGATCGGTCGTGGCATTGATCATTTAGCATTATACTAATTTAGGCTTTCCTTTTACAATATCATCTGGAGTTGGACAAGTGCTCGTTTCTTCTTATAAACTGTATATCTCTGAAAAGAAAACCGTAGATTTTATTGTTTGTCTGTTTAGATTAAGAACGTGGTATTACACAAACGTTCCTATTATTCGGCAAAGATATGTTTTTTTTTGACATTATAAGTTTAAACGTAACCTATTTCTAAACGAGGCTATCTTATTTGTTCAGTAACTAGAATGAAAATGCGTTTAAACCAAAAATAATACATTAGAAATTTTAATGTTACTGTTTTTTTTTATAATAATTGTTTTAGTTCTTGTTGGCTTTTATGTTTATCTTTTATTCCTTTCTTAAACCCAGAAATTTTCTTTGTTTGGTCGACTATGTTTCTCGGAACAATTTATTCAAAAATAATTATTTAGAGATTAATGAGTAGAAAAAAAAAGTGTAAAGTAAAAAACAACAACAACAGAATATAAGACGACTCAATTTATGGCCCCCCAGTGGCACAGCGGTATGTCTGTGGACTTACAACGCTAGAATCCGGGTTTCGATACCCGTGGTGGGCAGAGCACAGATAGCCCATTGTGTAGCTTTGTGCTTAATTTACAAACAAACAAACAAATTAACCATATGTACATAAGAAAATGTTCCTTGAGGAATAGTGTGGAAGGAAGGAGGCTGAGTCTCACACCATAAGAGGGCCCGATGATTGTCATATGTTTAACATTTTCTTTCTCACAAACAACATGTTAAAATTACAATTGTGACATCATACGTAGGTGCTGAATGGAGGGGAGGTGGCTCTTACTAGCTAATCAATAATTAGCCCACCATGCAGTTACAAATCTACATAGTTAAAACCTTAAAACTACACTACATTCACCGAATATGATGTTGAGAAATGACAATAGATATCTTAATAAAATGACATCTTCTTGTCAATAATGTTATACAGTTTAAATTTTAATATCAATTAAACTTCGTTATTAAGGCTTTATGGGCTTATATCATGATTGGTCAAATATCACTTAAGTTCAGGGCTTCCAAGCAGCACAAACATTTTGAGGGCACTCAAATTCTATTTTTGAAGACTTTCGAGGGCCCTCAAACAGGTTAAGCCTTTTAGAGACGGCAGACCCTCGAACCCCGTAATTTCTACTCCTGAGCCCAGATCTTTGACTAGCCTTCTCATCTAGATGCACTAATAGGTTACACAATGGGTCAGTATAAAACGTCAGTGAGAATTTACAAATGTTGTCTTTAATGACTTTATTAAACCGTGAAATGATGAAGTAAATATGCACAATTGTGAAAAGAGACAACATTCTCTTTCTCCCGCCAATTTCAACAAGGGTGACAAACGCATTTCTCTGGAATGTCAAGTTTTTGCAGATGATTAACAGTAAGCAGTGTGTAAAAAGTCTATGGCTATGGCAGTTATTTTGGTGTAAAGTTAATAGTCTTTTGACTCTGGGCCTATATATTAATGGCGACGGATTCCCCTTGTCCTCACAGTGTCACGTGGTAATGCGCACTCTAGTGTTAAAGATACAACTCTATGGTAGTCATTACTTGTTCTGCCATCTATCAGAAAAACTTGGTTTGTTAAAATGTTTCTGTTTGCAACTGGATATTAATCACAGTTATTTATCATTGCATATATTTATCTAACTATGATGTATCTGAGGTAAACACTTTCTAAGCTACTTAGCTGAAAAAATTACATTGTAAATTTTCAAAAGTTTGTTTGATATTAACTTGAGTTTACTGGTTTTCTTTTATAACGAGTGAAAAACTCAACCTAAGATGTTTAATAGAGAGAGAAGCATATTGCTTATCATATCAACACATACACATATTGATTATCATATCAATACTTACACAACAAATGAAGATTAGGAAGGGAAGCATGATATATTAATTTGACTTCAAGTTATTTTAAGAATATTTAACCTCGATTGTTAAGATTCTGTTTATTCTTTGTTATAGCTTAAAGAATTAAATGAACGACAGAGACAAATAAACAGAAATAAAGCACTGAAAAAAGGCTTAGACCCTGAGTAAGTCTTTTCAAATTTTTCATGACCAAAACTACGTATATATGTATGTTTTGAGGGAATGTCTTTAGCAAATGATTTATGACAAATTGAACGTTAAAGTAATGTTAACATGAATTGTAAAAAATTCCTAAATTATGTTTTCAGTTGTGACCTATATAAAGTTTAACGTTTCTCAATTACCTTTGAAAAGTCCTAATTGAACCAGAATTTTAAATGTGTATAGCTAAATATTGCTTTCCATTTATTATTTAGAATCATTGCTTAAAGTACTTGTTAAACAACTAAATTTCTGAAATTTTAAATTTCACGTTTCTTTGATGACAGTATATTCTTGGAAAGAAGTATCTAATCTAAATATTATTATGTTCTAATCTTTGTTGTTTCTTTGATAACAGTATATTCTTGGAAAGAAGTATCTGAACTAACCATTGTTAAGTTCTAATCTTTGTTGTTTCTTTGATAACGGTATATTCTTGGAAAGAAGTATCTGAACTAACCATTGTTAAGTTCTAATCTTTGTTGTTTCTTTGATAACGGTATATTCTTGGAAAGAAGTATCTGAACTAACCATTGTTAAGTTCTAATCTTTGTTGTTTCTTTGATAACAGTATATTTTTGGAAAGAAGTATCTGATCTAACCATTGTTAAGTTCTAATCTTTGTTGTTTCTTTGATAACAGTATATTATTGGAAAGAAGTATCTGATCTAACCATTGTTAAGTTCTAATATTTGCTAAAGACGAAGTTAAACGTTTTTGCAGATTCATTTAAACATTTTTTGACGATCTTCCTCAACTATTTATTTTTGCATTCAACCTTTGATAGCAGTAGCGATTGGGTTGAATCAACACCCAGGATTAATAATGATTTCTTCCCATTCTTTACGGAATTGAATACTTTGTAGCTGAATTGTTTTATAGTGTATTGTTTTGTGAAATTGTTTAATTTATTGTTTCTTTATTTTACAGGGCCTTAACAGGAAAATACCCGGTAAGATGTATGAATACAGGCAATAATTTTCTTTGACTTATTATATTACAAACAAACTTTACACCTATTTGTTCTGATTTCTGTGTTACACGTTTGACAAAGATAACAGAAAAAATCCAACAATAACTACGCAAAAACATTGCCAGACTGAAAGTACACTTTTGATAAAGAAAGTAGAAAATTCCAATAACAACTATGTAAAGACATTGCCAGACTGAAAGTATTCGAGTATTGCAAGAGCACTTTACAAATAATACAATGTTAAACCTAGCCGTGTAAAGTGTTTTAATGTTTTTACATGTAACATACACAGGTCTAATTGGAATAGTTCTGAAAGAATTATCCACCAATAGAATATTTTTATCTTCGAAACATGTAATCTTTATGATTCATATGTTTGAAACTGAAATTAATCATTAACTAAAAACAATAATAATAACAAACAATTTGTGTTTGTGAAACAAATAACCATAGATACAAATTCTATCGTCTTAATGCATGTTGCTTAGCAATCAAACAATGTTTCAGTGTTAATATCTATGGTGTTTTAAATCCGTTGTACTTCACCACGTAGTAACTTAAATTAATTTAGGTATGTGAATTATGTTATGACGTTTCTGGTAAGAAAGAAAATAAATCTTAACATATACATACAATCATTAACCAGTTGGTCTGCTGTATAATGTCGAATAATGAATTCTTGTCATAACATTATTCACATGCGTAAATTAATTCAGGTTACTGCATGCTGAAGCAAAACGGATTTAATAAATCTTAACATATTGTTACGTCTCCGTTTGTTAATTAACTTTCCGTAACTTCGTTCCGACGAAACTTTAGCGACACAAGTCCTTACTTAATAAAACTGGTTTATTCTTTCCGAATACAACTTTACGATACACTTATTTTCAACAAACGCGCTAAAACAAACGCTATATCAACAAACGTCAACAATACTTCTGACTGCAGTTCAATTACTCACTATCTACACACACATTACTCCCCCGTCACGTTGTC